GGTCATTTTTTCCATGTAAAAAACAATCCATGCAAGAAAATCTAGGCTAGGACAAGAATGGATTATCTGAGGAAACTATACAGCACTGAAGGCAGATTTAAACTGAGCATAACATCTATACATGAACTGTGGAATCACTGCCCTGATACTGCACACAAACTGAATATACTTAATCTTTGTAGATGGGAGATATGGAGGAGGTGGGTAAGTGCATCAAGCAAACATTATAGATTGGACTAAAAACATTCAAATGAGCCAGAAATAGAAAGCAATTACCTGGTGATGGTTGAAAATGCCAATTATTTTTCAAGGAAACTTGAACCCCACCCACTTTTAAGTTTCTTCTTATTACAAGTCTGACAAAGTTTTGGTTTTTCAAAAAAATTGCATTCAAGTAACATTCCAAAAATCAGAAGTTTTGATGAAAACCAGAAAACTTCAATCAAAAGAAAGATTTTTCTGGTTGAAAATGTGTTGTCCATTAAGCTCATTTCACTGAAATATATTTTGGCCAACTCCACACTTACCCTTCTAACATAGCTCCTGATGACACCAAAGAGATTGCGCCCTTGCAATCTAGAATTCAGTCTTGCAATGGAGGCATTCAGAGCATTTTCTGCGATGGATGGTTCGTAGTCATACATTGGTAGCCCTGAGTCAGGTATATCAGAGTCCCATTAAAAACAAGTACACATCACGTAGCCAGCTTTCCAGTGAAAGTGGATATGCTTTCAGTTTTGAAAAACTTACCTGAACAAGAGAAAATACTCATTACAAAAGCAAAAATTAGTAAGGTCTCCATGGTCTGTTCTCTAAAGATCATCCTTATCTTTCCCCTTCTAAGCTGTAAAGCCTTCTTGTCAGGTTTCCAGCATATATTCTTCTGGCCTTATATAATAGAGCCTGGATACTGTACCTGACCTTCCTGTGTCAGAGCTTGGCTTCACACACTGCACTTTAAACAGAATTGATCCAGGAGCAAATATTTGTTGTCATTTTTTTAAATTTAGTGGAAGCCTTCTGTTAAAGGGATATGGCAATACTTTTCCAAGGGCCTATACCCAAAACAGGAGCTGTTCTTCTGACATCACGATAACCCAAAGCAGCTCCTGGTTATGTTAGTCATTTCCTTTAGTGTAAAGCCAATGGACCACATTTCCTCCCCAAAACCCAATCTAGAACCTTTGCATCAATAGAAAGGTCAGAAGAGGACAGATTCTGGCCCCATACAGGTTCTTCCTAATTATTAATACATGGAGAATTCTCACCAATGTAAAATGCTGGTATGAGCAGTGTAACAGGGGGCCTTCTCGGGGCCGATCTACCAGTGGCCCGCCCACCTGTTTCTGGGCCAACCACCTGCCTCCTCGATGATATCTAATTAGCATGTTAATTAGGCAGGAGGCTGCCCATTTCTTACCCCAATGCCAAGGGACACTATCTGCAGCTCTGTTCCTCCCCTACATTGCATCCCAAGCCTCACAGATGGCATCCACGGCTATTAACCTCACCGGCCCCACACTGGGCCCCAGAATCCTCCAGTCCAGACCCCTACAAGATCCCTCCACTCAGGTGCCCTACTCCACCCTCATTCTGGGCTGCCAGCTCCCTGAACTGTTCCCCCATTTGGGTGTGGTTCCCCCCGGGACCTTTGGCCACACAGGCCCTGGCGTTACCTCCAAGGCCAGTCGGAAACCCCAGGCCCCAGGCCAGCTCTGGGCATCCCTTGCAGTGGGCCCCTGGCCCTTTTGACCCTTCCAGTCCTGACCCCAGCATTGACCGGTCAAGGGATTTCAAGTCAGGTCTCTGAGCCTCTAGCCCCTTTTCTAACTTGGGTCCACCTTCTTGACCCTTCTCTGGGATAACCCACCTGGTTGTGGGAGCTGGGGTTATTAAGACACCCCAACCCACCTTTCACCAGGGTGGTAACTGGCCTGGCATTTCCTGGAGGCTCCCGCACCACTGGGAGCCCCACCAGGCCACCCACTCCCAGCAGGGTGCAGTTTTAGGTCATGCCTAGGACCAGGAGCCTCCAAACCATCCCCTAGATCTCCGACCCTTACCTCCAGGATGTTGCATGCAGCCTTGCAGCCAGGCAATGTTACTGCCTGGCCTGCCAGCAGTGAACTGTTCTCTTTATATAGGTAGCCAGAGGTCTAAAATGGCCACCACAATCAAACATCTGCTGGCTGCTTGGCTCAGCCCTTAAAGTGGCAGCCACCAACAGTGCCCTGCCACAAGCAGATATTAAATCTACCTTTCTGATGCTGACCCATGTGTAAGTGGTGTGCTGCAGGCAATAGGTATGTTGCAGACAATAGGTGTGCTGCAAGGCTATTGATGTATTCCGGACATTCTCAGATGGCAAATAGTCCCAATGGGTAGACTTGCCTTCTGTTGCAAACTATAGGAATGCATAGTCTACTATTTTTGTTACCCGTTCTGGAGCCGAGGCTGACAAAGCATTCAGGAGCAATAGCCAATTCCTTGAAACAGCTTTCCCCCTCTCTCATCCCCAGTTCTGCAATGGCCAAGTGTCTATTTTAATTAGAGAACCTTTGAGGTTTTAATAATTTTTTAAATGAATGATGTTGGTCCAAGGTCTAAGAATGTATGGGGGAGGAGAGGGAATGACAACTCTTACTCACCACATAAATTATAAACTCTGTGGCAATTCAGTTCACCTATTTTGCCAATACAGGGCAGCTTAGCAAAGAGGTTTCCTGAATGTGATCAATTATCATGCAAAAGCAAAGTTATTAGTGTCAGTCATTCTTTTAGTGCAGATGCTCATGCCATCCAAGGCTCATTTGGGCTGCAGTTTTCAAAAACACTTAAGTGCAACTGACTTTCAGTAAGAGCTGGGGATAAATTTTCAAAATGACATGCTCCTCATTATATTAATTTGTAAATGCATAGAGATAAGAATGCAGACAGGAATGCAAGAGCTGAAATTTCTGATCTGGGGACCTCTTACATGCAGACAGATAAGTCATTGTTGGACACCTGTAAACTAAAGAATTCATGAGAAGGTGCAAGAAAGCTGCATGCTGAGTACCTGAAACGTTTATGGATAACATCAGTCCTCAGGAACATCACCCTCATGTCTTCTTGCAAAGGTAACCACAGGTACACCTTAGCTAGTTAGGCTAGTGAGAGAGACCTTGTACACGAAAAGGCCTTCTGCAAATTAGCAAGAAGAAAAAGGGAAAAACTGTCCAAGGCAACTGTCTAGACTGACACCACCAGAGTAGTTTTGACTCCTTGCAGCTATTGTTTCCATTTGGCTACATCTACCACATTAGACTGCATGTTTCACAGACACAGCTTCTAGGTTAGAAAATAAAATCACAGTCGCAATAGCAAAGTGTTGGGTTTTTTTAATTTTAATTTACCATGTTATGGAAACACAGTTGGCTGTTTACTTTGATACCTCACAAATATAATCATTACATCCCCCCAGTGCACACCTCTCTGGGACATGGTAGATCAGATTTCAGGGTACTATAATAGTGCCAGCATGTTCCAACATAAAATCTCAGCCCCACCTGAATTAGAATCAGGGGCAGGGAGCCTGATAAATGTAATTTAGCTTGCAAAAAGCCTCAGGGCAAAGACCTGTAAGCTACAGTTACCTCATTCACTTTTATGGTACAGTGGAAATAATTACTTCTACCAAGTATTCATTGGGCCTTGTTACACATTAATTTTAGGTAGCTCCCAGAGTTCTTAGCCCCTAGATTGTCCCCACATTAACTCCTGAAACTAGTTTTAAGCACACTGTAGGCAGCTTAAAGTTATGCCACACTAGGGCAGGTTTATCTCTGATCTGTGTTACCTAGCTCGTGGTCCATTACAGTGTGGCCATTCTCAACAGATGAGTCACCCAAATTGCAGTCCTCCAGCATCCCAACACCCCATTCTCCTGTTCTACGTGGACAAATTTTCCATCCTCTGAATTCTAATGCCATGGGGGCATTCTGACACCAAGCCAACTCCCTTCCCTGCCCCTGGGGGTCTGACCTTCCCACCCCCATGGGTACAGCAACCCTGTGCAACTAGCCTGCAGAGCACATGCCAGCTAGCCAGGTCACAGAGTCCAGATGGGTCCAGGAGTGGGGTCTAAGGGCGGGGGGCAGAGGGGTGGACACAGGAAACAAAGTAGGGGGCCAGATTGGGTCCCCATGAGCTGGGACTTCCTTCCTGGGGCAGGGGCAGTATCTCCTCCCAAAGTGCCTTCCCTCATCACTCCCACCTCCCAGCCACCTCAGAAAGCACAACTAGCATCCCCTCCCCCACACCCCAATCCCAAATCCCAGTTTATTAAAACATGAGACCTTCTTAATATACTTCCTCTTTATTTCTTTTAAATGTATATTTTTTTACTTTTTTTTAATCCTTCAGTAGCTGACTTCCTTCAATTCACAACCCCTCTCTCACCCCCCATTTCCTTTTCACCTCCCATTTAATTACCCACCTACATCCCATTAAATCTCCATCTCCAGGTTTCATGTTCCCACCCTCCCCCAACCCCTCTCTCTCACACCCCACCATCTTGTAGTGGTAACTCACAGCTGTAGTTCCTGCATACCAGCACTCTAGTGGCAAGTCACATCTATACAAGTCAAGGACAGTCAGAGAAGGTTTTTAACCTTAAGGTGTGACTCCTCAAAAATCAAGCTAGCACTAACACAATCAACATTTGAGCAGCTCAAAGTACAACATATATCAAGGCCCTTAGATCTTACTGAATTCATCCTGTGTTTCCTCCATCTGGAAGTGACAGAGCCTTGAAAGTAAAGGTCTCAGTTATAGCAAGTGTGCAAGACAGATTTCACATGCCATATGACAACCCTTCATGATACCTGGGTTGCATAAACCAAGCCCAGTCAGCCAAACGCATGCAGTGTGTGGAAGAAGTCAACAGGAAGTCAGACTAGTTACGTGGACCCAAGTTACAGTCCACTATCAAGTCATATGCATGGTATAGTGTGTGTATGCTATCTTTTTGAGTGAAGTGTTGCTCAGAAGAGGTTCAGCATTCTTTGTCAGACATTTTGGAAGCAATCTGAACAAAACATCAACACCTCCTGTTCAGACGGGAGTTTAGATTTGGTGATCACAATAGTGGACTGAAACATTGGTTGAAACTTTAACTAGACAAAAGCCAGGTCCTCTACTAAATCCCCATCCTCCTTGTTCTCAGCTAATTTTGACATTAGATCTCATTTTCCTCTCTCAGAGCTTACGCTTTCTTGGCTTTCACATCTCTGCCTACTTGTGATGTTCATTCTGCCTTCTTCATCAGGAAGGTACTGAACCACTAGCTACCATCTCCCTGTAGGCAGGCCATTTGCAAATTTCCTCTCACAACTGAGATATGGCATTGCAATCCAGGATCTTTACCCTGATTTACTACAAAACCAGGCAGAGACATAGTGAGTTCCTTTGTCACCCTGGACAAAGTTGGCAGGGTGGGACACCCAGAGTCGCACCTGAGGCTCTGGGTGGGATGTCCAGGACCCACAGGGTGAAGGTAGGGAGCTCTCAGGTCCTGACAGTGTGGGGCACCAGCTCTACAAAAAGGGAAGGGAGTTCAGGGTACAGCCAGAATCCATCTAGGGTCCTGGCAGCTATGGGGAAAGGTATTGCCCAGCTAAGGTGTTAAACCTCTAGCCTCCCCCCACAAAGTGCTGCCAAATGGCATGATGAGCAAAGAAATAAAACCCATAATTCAGTGGCAAGAGTCTTCACCCCTGCATAACACTTATCTGCCAGGACCAGAGAGCCTCCTTGATGTCACTACCCAGCCACTCTCCATATAGCCTGAGCCTATAGCTGTTGGACCAGCAGCATAGCTGCTTTGAGTATTTATGGTAAAGGCAAAAGTGCAGGCAGATAACAGAAAGCTATCAAAATGTCAAGCCTCAT